GTGTGAGCTTGAGTGGACTCCAGGGGATGGTGGAGGACAGGAAGGCCTGGAGGAATGTTGTCTATGGGGTTGCGATGAGCCGGACACGGCTCTGTGACTAACACCACCACCACCACCAACTGCAGTTTTGAATCCCATATTCATCTAGCAACACGGGGGCTGTTACCATGTCTGGAGAAGTAAAAATCTTTTTCTTTAAGCTTCAAGAATAGCTTTCTTAAAGCTATTTCTTTAGCTTCAGCTTTTCTGAAGATGCTGATCATCTATAAATTGACATCCTTGCAGAGATTTATAATATGGCCAAGTGAGAAAGGATTGTTCTTGGTCATTGTGGTTTAGGTAACACCTGTTTGCTCCCTTCTAAAAGGACCCAAGCTCCACGGAATAAAATCCTCAGCTTGTAGTTGAGGCCGGACTTCCTGCATTCCATTTACAGGTGGGGTGAGCTGTAAACAACCTGGTGGTGACATGATTCATGAATAAAGAGATTATTCAGTTTATCTAGCATAAACACTGATATAGTAACTGACTGCCACTTATTTCTCTTTCCAACAAACATGATTAGGGAGTAACTCATTATTGCATGCACTTTGAAATTAAACATTTGCAATATATTATGCACAAAATATTTTCAAATGTTTGCACAAGGAACTACAGAAAGCACGATGTATTTCCCACTCGGCCAAAACTCACTTCAGACTCACCTCCCTCCTTGGCAAAGTTTAGCAATATCTTAACTAGCCCAGCAGAGTAAAATTTAGATCAGATGGTAGAGAGTGAGGATGCACAATTTAAGAGCAAATGATTTGAAGAGTATGGAAAGAGACAAGAAGCGAAGGGAGAAAAAAGAACAATGGCTTTCCTGAGGAAAACAGCGCCATGCAAGAACTAGTTCAAATAGCTCAAAACACATCAGGTTTTCTTAATAGAATCACTTTTATATGCCTCTGATGCTTTGCAAATGCCAAAGCAGTAAATACAGAATGTGTGAAATAGTTTGTGAAGGCAAAGGCAGCCCCTTTAAAATGAATATGGAATTGCTTCTCATCAACCGAGATCTGTACACTGGGTGCATCAGCTTCATTTTACAACGCAAGCGTGCAGACTAATTGAAAAGGAATGCAAGTGAAGAAATCTTCCTTGGCTGCGCTAGTTTTCTGGCTGGCTGAAGGGCTGAAATGAGACCGTCTACCTCCAGATGGCAACATAAAAGGTCTCAAGGACTGAGTGCAGGGGAGGGGTAGCTGGCAAAGATACTCTGCTCTCTGCTTTGCCAGGATCCCAGTTTGAAAAGGCACCATTCTTCCTCCGCCATGTCCGAACATGTCCCATGCACCTTTCCAGCTTAAAGGTGCTGTTGGAAGCATGAACAAGCTATGATTCCCAGCACGCCACTTTCCAGAGTCAGGATCCTAAGAGAATTTTCACAAGCCTTCCTGAGTCCTTATTATCTGAATGCTGGATTAATGACAACATCTACATGCAACATAAAATAAATTGAATTTGCACCACTTGTATACATAAAACAGATGGGAAATTGATTTAGCTGGCACACCATTTTTGTAGCCTCTATTTTCTGTGAATTCCTGTTTTTTCCTCTTTCCTCATTAAGATCTGTATAAAAGCAGCACTGGGACGAGAGCAACTGAGCAGGGTGGGCTTTCAGCTTCTGGATGGCGACTCCTATCAGCTCAGCCATTTGCTATGTGGAGTAGGGGGCCATGGGAGGTGGCGATTAACACCTCGAGGGCTACAGGTTCACCACTCCTGAATTGGGAAAGGAGAAAAAGTTCATGTTGCAGTGTGACTCTAATGTTCCCAAAACAGGCCTTTTAAAATGTTACACAGAATAGCTTCCTTCTAAAGGACTTGAAGGATTCAGCATTGGCTTTCATTGTCCTGACAGATATCAAAAGATTGGTGCATCTTCTGTACAAAAATGTTCTACATACCAAAGGACTGGAAATTCCAGCAACTAATAATGTATACAAAGTGTTCCCATTTGTTTACTTTCCTTTCTGTTTTAAAGATATCTCTTTACTACCCATTTGGAGCTGAATTGTACTGTTTTTAATGGACTTGCAGGTTTTCCTTTTTGGAGGTGGTATGACGGAGCTTCAACTTGCTCAGATGAAGTGGGGAATATGTGGATGTCCTTTTTGTAAGGCACCTGAATTTTAGTTGTGAGTAGAAACAAACTACAGAAGAAGAAAGGAAAGAGTAAAAACAGAACAGAAGCTTGTGATTTGGGCCACAAATCAAATAGGTAGGATGTTTGGTTAAGCTTTCCCATATTGGGCCAAAGAAATCAGTAAGCAGCAATGCCAATTTTAAGTCAATCCAGATACAATACGGGAGATCTACATTTCCTGACACATTTTCTTTGTTTAAAGCGGGGGGGGGGGGGACTGTGTGCGCATGTGCTTGATCAGTCACAGGGAATGCAGCTTTTTAAACCCCTTTTTCCTACACCGTTTTTCTGATTAAACCTCTCACCAGCAGCTACAACAGGAGGACACACAAAACTATTCCAGGACCCAGTGATGTATTTTGTGGGAGGAGAGAAATACATTTTGGGAGATGGTTTCTAGATCTTCGGTTAGCATCAGAATTAGCAGAAACATTCCTACTTTTTCTCTTGTGCCCAGGAAAACGTTGGAGTCAGATCATTGAAGTGCACTTGTGTAGCCCTATTTCTGGGTATTTTATGATAGACAACATTGCTGGCCAGTTTTAAAACAATGCTCTATTCAGGGCCATGCTGTACTACACAGAAATTGGGTCTTAAAAACAAACCAACAACTCAAAGAGACACTCATATCACGCTTGTTTTCTGTAAAAATGCAGGAGCATACTTTCCCAAGCTGAGGACTCGTGTTTGTGCTTTGCTTAATGCCACTTGCTGATGTTTTTTTATCCAATCTAGATTTCCCTTTAGTCTTTAAACCCAAGCACTGGAAATGCAAACCTTTACCAGTTACATGGCAGTCTGTAATCAATACAATGTATAATACGTAAGTTTCTTTTATGTACATTTCTTAATACAGGGTATTGCCCATTGGCTCAGAGTTGTAAGGTCACATATAGTGAAAACAGACATGTAAACAAACAAAGCTTAAGAACCCGTGAATTTAAGAAAGGCTAAACATGGCAAGGGAGCGAGGTGCTCTTCACAAACGGCAACCGTGCCATTCACAGCTGCTAACATGCCCACGGACGATCAGCTTCCTGCACAGGAGCTGGAATTGTGCTCTATGCATGTCATACAGTGTCAAGTTCTATCACAGCTAGTTCTGTTTATAAACTGTCTGACTTTAAAGGTATGGTGTCCACACCTGTAGAATTACTATTAGAAAGTGTGAAGTGAGATTTTTCTACTGTCTGCTAACACGAGAACCTTTGTCAGAGGCTGGGAAACTATTGGCTTTACAGGAGAGGTGGAGGTTGCTTCAGGTCCAGCCCCTAGCTAAATATTTCTGCCCAGAAACTACTTCCTGGAGGACAGAGGGAGCTCCTGGAAGCCAACGAGTAGAGAGCGTTGTCTCACCTCAAGTCACCAGTTCTACAAAAATGGGCTTTGACGACCTGGGTTAACAAGCTGCCCTTGCTTGCTGGGAGATTGGAAAGTGTCACTTAATCTCAGGTTAATCCTATTTTGCCCAGAATGATAATAAGACTTCCCAGGCCCAGCCAGCACTGGGGAATCCCCCGTACCAGGCCCTTTTGGCTCTGCCATGGTGCTGCTGCTGCTGCAGATGTGGGTGTCATTCTAGAAATATCCCAGGGCCTACAATGCAGGCAAGGAAGTGCCTTTTCCAACAAGAGGTGAAAAGGGCACAAGACTCTGGCCAGGTTAAAAAAAAACCCAGCAGGAAAGGCTCACAAAGATACTTCAAGTGTTGGAGATACAAACTGGATTTCAAACAGGCATGCCACACAATCTTGAATAACTTTAATAGCATTCATGTAGTACACTTCATTTGAGAAAGGGCCCTGGGCTCTGCTCCGCTCTCCTTGGCAATCTGGATTCTTGCAGGACAGGGAAAATGGCACCCCTCGACAGCCTGCATCACCAGGGTGAAGCGTGAAGTATCAATCCCGACAGCAGTGCTAGAGGGAAGAATGCCAAGATGGCTGTAGGACAGCCACCAAGAATGCAGCAACTCTTTTGAAAGACACAGACCAGAATTTTTCCACAGTTAGGTACCTGCAACAATAATGTCTTGCACCATGTAAAATATGGCAGAAATTGCCTACCAGAGGTTTAAAAAATCCCTGATGTTTTGTCGGAAGAAGAAAATACAAGTCATGAGCTCAACCTTGAAACACATTTTTGCAAACTAGAAGATAAGCACTGAGAACATGTTTCGCCTTTGCTTCACACAATGTGCTGTCCGGACATGGGACAAAGTAATGCAGCCAGATCAACAAAGCAGATACGGCAATGTTACTGCTGAACTAACCTGTGGAGCCTGCCTGGCAAAAGCAAGAGCCGTCATTTCCCAAAACGAAATGCTTTTTAAAAGGCAAGAAAAGCATTTTGCTTGCCCCCTGCCCCAACAGAACCTGGAAATCCTGAATATTCATTCCAGTATAATGTCCTTACAACACTGAGTTCACAATCACCAGCACAAGGAGTCAACATACTGCTCCTCAGCTGGCATAGGAAGCTTTAGGACTGGCCTATAAGAGTCAGGAAATGAAAAGGCAGCAGTATAAAAATTAACCCAGATGAATCTGATGGATGCGTTTTAACTCACTTGAGTCTTGATTGGCACTTACCACAGTAACTCTAGCTACAATTTGACAAATAGGAGACATGTGTCCCATGTTAAAACTACACGGTGTTTTCCCACTTAATGAATTAAGCTTCTGAATTGAAAACCAGGTACCTGAAGGCAGGAAAACAGAATGAAGCCATGTCTAGTGTATATGCAGTCAGAGACCAGCTTGTTTGATAGGTCGTGTAGTTGAAGCCCCATGCAAAACGTACCGTTTAGGTTTTCAACCAGAAGGGCAGTTCAAGGGGAAACTAAAAAGAGCGTTCCTTCAGGGTGAAAAAATAATTAAGCGAGCTTTAAAAAAGTATGAACACTTATGTTTCCAACAAATTCCGTATGTTACATTTCTGTATACACACAAATTGTACACACATTATTTACATGTGCCCATTTGGGCTGTGAAAGGAGATTAGAAGTCCATTGATAAGGAGCCCTGAGCGGTGTCCTCTCGCCCGCGCACGTAGATCTCGCAGGGGATCTCCTCCATCACCCGGTCCTCTATCACCTGCTCAGGACACTCATGCGCCTGTTTGAAGGTGTAGCTGCTTTTTTTGAAGGTGCTATTAAAGGTCTTCATGGGCTGAGGCTGTGCAAAGTCGTTGCGAAAGGGGAGCTCCATTGAACTGAGGTTGGTCCTGCTTTGCTTTACTGCAGCAGCTTGGGACCCACAGTGGTGATCGTGAATGCACCTGGAAGCCGTCGACGAGCGCCTCATTTTCTGGTAGTTCTCAAGTTCTTCGGACAGGTCAGCCAAGTCGGCGGAAATCTCTTTGTCTCTCAGCGAGAAGAGTTCATAATGAGGAGGATCAAAAACCTCCTGGAAGCCAGTCTTGTTGAAAGTGGCTTTGCAAGCAATGACCTTCTTACGAGGCTGCTTGACCTGGACCAGGATTGAGATGATGAGAAGAACCAAGACGATCCCTGAAGTAATCCCAATGATTGTCCCATGAGTTTTGGTGATTTGCTCAAACAGTCCTGTTTTCTTCTTCTCTAAAAGAGGGACAAAGAGGAAGCATGCCGATTTAAGTCTGTCTGATTAAGTTAAGCAATATCTGAAATGTGTTAAAGCAGTGTTGGAAACCTCTTTGAGCCGGAGGGCCAAAAGCAGTGTTGGAGAAGCTCTTGAGGTCTGGGCCTCAGTGGTGAATAGGACCAAAAGGGATAAGGCCCAAGATAACACAAATACCAGTGCAGTTTAGCTTACAGCTCTTACTGCTGGCAAATAAGCCTTAGGAAAAGCATTTCAACTCTTAAAAATGCAAATAACTGTGAAAAAGCTGGAGAAACACCAAAATCAGCAGTTGGAGAAAGGGTGTGTGGATTTCCCAGCAGAACCCTAGAGGGCCAAGGTGGAGAGCTCAGGAACACTAGATTGGGCCATGGGCCAGAAGCTTCACATCCATGTTTTAAAAAGTGTGAAATTTCTCAAATTCCCCAAAGACATGCACAGAGGTAAAAGAAAAGTCTGATGCTTTGGGACATGAAATGTGAGAAGTATGAATCAAGGCAAACTGGAAATCGTACAAGAAAGGGAAAGAATGAACATCACAGTACTTGGTGTGAGCGAACTAAAGTGGACTAGAACGGGACATTTTAGTCCAGAAATGACAAAATCAGAAGAAATGGAGTGGCTCTAATACTGAGGCAAGATGGAACAGGAAGAGGTTATAATGCAAAATCCAACCAATAATACAGATGCCCTTATTCTACCCGTGATGAATCTGTTCCCTGCATCTTATACATGACCGACCCCTGGATGGTTTTGGAAAGAGATATGGCGCACCTCTGCTACCGACTGAAAAGTAACAGTGCGTACAGGAGATCTGAACACTTCATATGAAAGCACACAAGATGGCACTATTAGATTACAGCAATTTTCTGTGTTTTACAACTATTAAAAATGCAAGCTTCAAAAGAAAAGGTCATTGTTCTGGCTGGCAAGAGGTATGAGTACGGATAAAATAGGACTTTCAGAGGGAAATGAGGGAATATTACTATTCCTTGGATATAAAGAAACTAATCTATTCCTACCACAAGTTAAAATAAGGTCTCTCTCAGTATCTCCCTAAAGCTGGGACAATGGGTTTCAGCCAACTCGTTATGTACCAACGCTGAACAGATTTCTAAACTGAAGGGATGTGAGAAACACACACAGATCTATCAGAATTGTCGTCTAGAAAATTAGCTTCGGTAAAAGACCATTTTGACGAGGCGTGATTAATGCCAGTGAAACAGAGACTGCCAAAGGCAGCTCAGTGAAATGATCTACAGCCGGTTTGCAACTGAGCTATTTCTGCGAAGCTGTAAAACAAGAAAGGATGATATTGTTACCAGAGAGATACAGGGTGGCACGGTAAGTGCATCTGTACCCTTCTCTGACTCAAACAAAGGAGCTACAAGGTGAAGAAACAAACAGTGCTTGGTATTTTATCAGCTGGCAAGTGAAGCACCTATAAAACAGGCTAGAATTCTTCCACAAGTCCCCCCTGTGCCACTCCTTGTATATAATTCGGCTGCAAAGGGGGAATTATTATCTGTGCATGGTCTTGGTCCTCGGAATCCTGATGAACTTTTCGCTTGTTCGGGGGGGAACGAAAGCGCATGCCAGGCATCCCGAGGTCACGGCTCCCTCAACGACTCACCTTTGCAGTGGTTTTCATCCCAGGGATAGGCACAGTTCTGAATACCGTTGCACACTAAAGAATTGTTGATACACATGTTGCTATGGCAAAAGTAAGTGCCGCCTGAGCAGGGGGCTGTGAAGGAGGAGGGGAAGGAAGGAAAGCAGGTAAGAAGCGGGGCTTACACTTGGACTGCTATTTAAATTATACTTTCATCGTTACGTGCATGACCTGGGATTTTAAATAAGAAGACATCTTCTGCATGCCAGATAATGGCGCATTTAGAATTTTCCCACCGCTGCGGCTGCTATTGTGTATCCACACTACATACCTGTTTAAAATAGCAAGGCGGTGCTGGGTTTCCCCTCAGCTGTGCTAACTGGTGGCAGTTCTTTTTAAGAGTAATACACTGGAGATGCGCCACCATTGTCCTCTTTTCCTTCCAAGCTAGCTAATTGCTTCAATAGTCAAATGTTTTCATTATGAACTATGGTCTTAAAGTTGTGATAATCTGTGCTTTGTTAAATATTGTGATTTAAAATATAGTAATCTGATGCTTAGGTCACCAATTATCTGATAACTAATCCCATCTGAGGTTTAATTATATTCCTTGTTATTTTCCAACTATCCTTACCCATGGGGCTTTATTTAAGAAAGGCGGTGTCTCTTAGGGAGTGCAGGAATGAATAGTTACAGATATAAATGGTCGACTGTTTGGGAAAGTAATCCAATTCTTAAACATCCAATTAATTACAGAAGAAACCCACATTACCACTATATTCTGAAAACCAACCATTCAGTATGTTGCTCTGCATTGAATAAAGCAGAAAACTTTCCAAACGGAAAGGAAATTAGCTCTAAGACAGCAGTACAGAACCTTAAGCACAACACCATAGCCTGGCCCTCTGGAGACTTTTGTGTAGCTTTTCTGCCATATGAAGTGTTGAGAGGCCTCTCCCAAGACTTTAGCTGCAGATAGTGAAAGCTTTACGTTAAACTATGCCAATATTTTTGGCATTTGACTCGCATCCCCTTCTGCCTTTTATGCCTGCCTTGCAGTGGAATGTGGCCTTCCTGAGAGCTTTGGCCCTTGGTTGGAAAAATGTTGCGCACCCATGCACTGAGAGATCACATAGCGCCATAGAAGTGTAGCAGATGTATTGCAAAGATTGGCAGTGAAAGATACAACAGTATCTCATAACCTCCTCTGCTGTAATTTTTGACTGATGAATCATGCAACCAACAAATCCCCCCACCCCAACACACCCCAAAATCATGACATGAAGCTTTGTATAGTCTGGAATTACCGTATTTTTTGCTCTATAAGATGCACTTTTTTCCCCCTCAAAAGTAAGGGGAAATGTCTGTGCATCTTATAGAGCGAATGTGGGTGTGCCTGATGCCCGGGACGCTGCTGGCCCACCTGCACCATGTGGCACCACCTGGCCGGCACGCGCTCGGCACGCTCTGCTCTGCCCCCCAGTGCAGATGAGAGCTGTGCCACTCAGGGGGAGGCATGCGGAGGAGGAGGAGCCGTGGGCTTGAACCCGCCGGCCACACGGAGAGACGGACTGCTCACCCCCACCGCCCGGGAAGATCTGCAGTGGAGGAGGAGGAGCCGCGGGCTTGAACCCGCCGGCCACACGGAGAGACAGACTGCTCACCCCCACCGCCTGGGAAGACCTGCCGCCACCACCGCGCCGCCCAGAAGACCACCGCCGGCATGCTGCTGGCCCGGCTGCACCACACCTGGCTGGCACGCACTTGGCGCGCCCTGCTCCGCCCCCCTCCTCCGGTGCAGGTGAGAGCTGTTAATCACAGGTCGGTGTGTGTTTTCAAATGGCAACTCGTCTTTTAATGAAGCCCATGGGGAAGTGATGGGGAATGTGCCTGTGATTATCAGGAAGCTTTCCATGGATCCCTCCTCTAAAAACTAGGTGCGTCTTATGATCAGGTGCATCTTATAGAGCAAAAAATACGGTATATGTTAAGATACTCCTAATTTAAAATAAAAGCAGTATCTCTAAGTAGTAGTTATGCAATTCATGCACCTTGGAAAAAGGTTCAGAATTAAGTTTCACACAATCTTGCCATCTTTTCTAAAAGTGTGCATCACAATATACTCACGATCCACAAATGATGTGAAGAGCATTCTGAACCTGCTTAATCTACTGCCTTCATCTGCCCACATTCGCACCACTCCGATACCTGTCTGCAGCATCACATCGTTGGCCACAGTGCTACAAAACTTTGCCTTCAAATTCTCGATAGAGCTGCTTCCATCATACACGGCCACAAAGTTTCTCTTGCATTCATTCGAATGTTCCATCTGGTAGTCCAGAAATCTCAGATAGATCTGCTCAGTATGGGACATAAAAGAATCGCTTTGAAAGGAGCAAACTAGCTAAGTTGCATTAAGACGTAGCACACACATAAAATTTATGAACTCAATTCACACAAAAGGAATAGATTGCTTATTTGTAAAACATATATGTTCTAGGCAGATATAAATGTAAGCTTGCAATATCTAAGTGCAAACTCCGTACTCCTTCACTCTTTTAAGCCTTAAAAAACATTGAAATATCCTAAGAGAAATTCCTTCTTGAAGTATGTGCAGTCCTCTTCCAGGACAAACAGGAAAAAAGTAGTTTTCCACCACAAGGTAGAATTCAGGAAACAGCTCCTTATTTCTGAAGTCTTTTTTCCAATCACAGAGCGACTGGTTTTTCCAAGCAGGATAAATTCATTTCCTAGTTGGTATAATTGAGGAAGCGGGAAGGGAAATTACATAATACTTTTGCTTATTAAGAAAGATTCTCACTTTCCTGATCTCTAAAATAATTAAAGGGGAAACTAAAAATAAAAAAAAAATCAGGAGGAACTCTGAAGCAGGAAAGAAGTTCACATTACAGAGTTTCTAAAGGGGTGTAAATCTTCACTCACACATGTACAAGAATTCTTTCCTCCAGAAAGCTGTCATTACGTACAGTTCATGTACTTATGTCTTGGCAAGAATATTCAACATTGTTTGGCAACCATTTCTTCATATAGGCATTCCTTTCCAGCGTAAGCGGGTAGTGAGTTTTCCTCTGGATTCCTGTTACGGTGTGCTTCACTAGGCTCAGAGAAGGATGATGTCCAGACAAAGCTAAGTTCAGGGAGTGATTCAGTTTGGCTTGGACAGAAGACTTAATAACCCACCAGCGCATTTCCAGAAGCTAGAATTCAGTCCAAAAAGGAACAGCAATGCCAAACCGTATTTAACAACATAGATATGAGAGAAGAAGGGAAAATAGTTGCCTTAAGCGACCCCACACACTGCAGTCCCTTGTTCCTTGTCTCAGTACCGTAGTGTATCGAGAGTTTTGCTTGTGCTTCTGTTCCCTCAAGCCATCTGGTCCAGCCCTTATAAAGCTAGTTGCCATGGGAGGAGACATATCCACATGGAATACTTATGGTGTTTCTATTTAGGGTAGTATTTATTTTATTTATTTGGAATTCTTGTATGCCGTCCCATTCGCATAAGCCTTGGGACGGCTTCCAACATATAAATAAGTATCTATACAAAGACATATAAAAACTGGAAACATCCTGGCATAATAATTTAAAACCAATAAATAAAATCAGCAATTATTAAAATAACATTTAAATAAAAAGGTCTTGGCCTGGCGCTGAAAAAGAAATAATGACGGCGCCAGGCGGGCCTCTCTGGGGAGCGCATTCCATAGGCGGGGCGCCACCGCAGAGAAGGCCCTCCTCTGGGTACTCGCCCTCCTAATATCCTTCACGGAGGGTTCCCGGAGAAGGGCCTCTGCTGCCGATCTCAAGGGGCGGGAGGGCAATTATGGACGCAGGCGCTCCTTTAGGTATCCAGGTCCCAAGTCGTAGAGGTTGGGCAACACAGTGGTACAGAAACAAGCACATACGTCAGACTGCTCCATTACCACTCCTTAACCCAAGTCCAGATCTACTTTCTGTGTTCAAGACCTGTTCAGCTTCCTTTATACATCCACTGTTCCTGCAGGCCAAAGTCCAGACTGACTTTCAGCCTTCACTGCAGTAGGTGGGTATGACCTCCATTACTTGATGCTTTGGATAGTAGACAACCAAGATGCACGGCAATCTCCATCACTGCTGAACAAGCCACGCCAAACTCAAGGGTTCTTCCACTGAAGGACATAATGTTAAGAAGCATAGCCTTTGGGCTTGGTCTCAGCTTGTTACTTATTTTCTCTGTTAGGCTTTTCAAGTCCTGAACTCCAATATCCAAAAAATAATTCAGTTAGTAGGGCTCTTCTCTAAATATGAAAGGATACTATTGGTTCATGTAATCTATATGAATAACTTGCAGCACACTCTTGCAAGTAAATACTGACCTGTCAACAGTAATAATTATAAGGAGGAACTGAATTTCAAGACAAGATGTATTGTACCTATTTGTGCTGGAAGCCATAGATAGGGAAACTGTGAAACTCTGCAGGACAAGTGAGAGAGCGGTGTGTGTGTGTGTGTGTTTGCCAGGCTCCCTTCCTGTACACTTGACTATTCTCTGTTGCGCCTGCTATAGGGAGAAGATGATATAACAGGTGAGAAGAGCAAACCTCGCTTACGAATCTGAGCCAGCTGTCCTTGATTCTGGGGTGGAGGATGTAACCAAACACAGGTTGAGCGGCTGCAATCCAGTGTATTTAGGGGCAGTGAAGACAGCCCCCAATCCCAGTCACCCTGCTTCTATCACGCCCTCTGTGTGCTGCCCAATGGAACTTTTCAGGGTTCCTCAGGCATTATTTTGTGCTGGCTTTAAGAATATTGCAGGCCTATCAGAGGCCTGCCGTGATAGGTTTGTGATATGTTGATCACTTCCAAGATAAAATCTTTTGCATCACCAGGACTCAGACTCCTGTATTATGACTGATGTATCAGATAAGGTATCCAGAGCACAGTCTTATGCCGTTTTGTTGGATGAGTTCCAGCTGGTACAGCTTGAGGATGTTGACAAGCTTCGAGCAACTGTTTCCATACTGGATTGCTGCCCCTTTTGGCTTATGAAGAAGGAAGGCTCCAATATGGGAAGGCTCCAATATCCACCTGGCAGAGAAGGAAGAGCAGGCTGGGCCAGGAAGGTGATGAATGAATGCCTCCTTGGAAAGAGGAGTCATCCTGGGTTGCATGGAGGAGGTGGCTGTGAGAACACTCCTCCCTAGACCCAGAAGAGGTTAACTACTGTAGGCTGGTGGGAAATGTTCCTCTCCTGGACAAAGTGCTTAAGCAACTGCTGCCAACCGACTCCAGGTGCTCTTCGATGGGATCAATGATCTGGATCCATTTCCGTCAGGGAGCAGGCTGTTTTGGCACTGAATCAGCCTTGATCTCCATCCTATATGTTGGGAGAGAGGCAGATGGAGTGTGATCCTGTCAATTCCTCTCGATGCCTTTCAATACTATTGACTATGGTATCTTTCTGAGGTGACTACCTGAGCTGGGAGTGGAAGGTAATGTTCTGCAGTGGCTCTGCTCCTACGTGGAACGCTAACTTCCGAAGGCTAAGCCCCATGGACTCTCTAGCAGGTGGTTCCACAGGGGACAGTTGTGTCCTCCATGTTATTTAACACCTGTGTGAAACCACTGACTGGGGCAGTCCAGAGTTTGGAGTGCACTACTATCTGTCTATTGATTTAGCAGCTTTATTTCTCTTTGACTCCACATCAGGTGAGCCTATATATATGCTAAATCACAGTCCAATGGATTGGATGAGGACTGAAGCTCAGTACAGATAATGCTGTTGGTGGGCGTGTCTTCTGATCAAATGGAGGATGCTTGTTCTGGATGGGGTCGTGAGCTCCCTGAGAAAGCAGCTTCAAAGCGTGAGGTTTCTTCTCCAGTCATCATTATCATTGAGGCTCTGGTGGCCCCAGTAGCATGGAATCCCTTTTACCAGCTTCAGCTGGTGGGCCACCTATGCCCATATCTGGACAGGGAGAACTTGGCTTCAGTAGATTAGATTACTACAAGACACTCTGTGGAGGGCTGCCCTTGAAGACTGTTCAGGAGCTATAGCTTGTGTGAATTGTGGCAGCTGGACTAACTGTGAAGAGTGACCAGAAGGTATGAACACAGAATACAAACTCTGGGGCCCCAGCATCGGTGGCCTGTATGTTCCTGAATCTGATTCAAGGTACTGGCTTTAACCGATAAAGCATTTCATGGTTCAGGGCTGCAGCAACTGAAAGAACACCAAGCCTGTCATGGACATACCCAGATACCACAAGCAACATCTCAGACTTCCCCCTGAATAGCTCCTACAAGGGAGACTTGGAAGGTGGCACCCAAAGAGAGGGCCTTCTCAGCGGTGGCCCCCCGATTATGGAATGTTCTCCCCACAGAGTTCTGCATAGCAACAACATTGTCATCCTTCTGCAGCCAGATTAAGCCTGTTCTCTACTCCCAGGCATTTGATAGGGTATTTATAGTAGTCATTTTTATCAGATCAAGCATCTTATTGTAATTTTTAGCTGTTTAAAATAGTTCTTAAATGTTGTTTGTTAAAGATTATATATTTATTTATATTGTTATTCTATTCTATTTGTAGTTTGTAATTTTTTGTCAGCTGCCCAGAGAGCTTTGGCTATTGGGCAGTATAGAAATGATTGGAATAAATACTTTTACAACTAATGATGATTATGCTTAAGCTATAAAGTTCTAAAACAAATGGGGTTACATTCAATGTTAGTCCCAGCATAGAATAGACCAATTAAAACGCCTGAGACTTAAGACAGACTAAGACTGGATAAAATGCATGGTCCTAAACCATAGCAAGTTAAGTCCACAAGCATAAATAATCCAATCAAGACATTACGATTTAGGAAGATAAAATCCAATAAGAATACAACTGACGATGTCTCTCCCAGCAATATTCCATGACATTTCTAAATAAGCATCTCTTTTCAAATATAAATGGGTCAGGATGGAGATTACTTTGGGTATGCAAACTGGTGTTTATATATCGCTGCTCTTTATGTTCAACAACTCATACTGTACACAAGTATACCCACTGCATTCCCTTGTTAGACTGAAATAGCGAAAACAAAAACAGAGGATCTGTATTACGTTGCTTCCTAGAAAGGAATCCCTATTTCTGTTGACAGAATCATCCTTTATACTTCTGATACCTAGTTTGTGAGCACTCGCTTGTTTACGTGAGACAGTCAGCATCAAACCCTTTTCAAATCAATATTTTTGTTGCACTGCAGACTATACAGAGAGGGAATCTGAACCAAGAAAAGTATTTCTCTGTTCATAAGCATGGCTAGAAAAATGCGTCATCAGAAAAAGATGTCAAAATATGAGCAGACAGATTTTAAACCCCACTGGACTGATTATCTCCTTAAACCTGGCATTATACGACAAGTCATCCAATGTTGTAAAGGTGTAGACTATTCTGCAGTATACTCAGAAACTGTCCACCTAAGCAGCCACGCAGACCTGAAATATTCAAACAGGGCCTTGAATCAAAGAACCAATTAAAACCATATAAAACCACCCCACAACCAAATTCCACGAGATGGCTCCTGTTCAATTCCCTGACATGTAATTGATAAAAATCTCTATTTCTGATCTGAAAATGTAATAGGTGACTTTATTTTCCCATCAGCATTTAATCTGAGAGATAATATCATCTAGACAATAGACAGCAAAGTTAACTAGAGTTGTCTTTTCAAACTTGGAAATACAAGATTAGATACATAACTATATCAGCAAGGTTCACAGAATCATATACTAGTAGTTTCCAATAAACTGGGCAGCTTGTGCCTGAATTTGAGTGCCAGATCTTGAAACCAGCTCAAGCCACATAATAAATGGATTTTTTTTGGTTCACAATACCTGGGTTGGACCACGGTTAATATAAAGAACAGTCACAATGAGGTGGGGAAAAAATCCAGGTTGGAAGGAGCCTTCCCAAAATCAATAATCCATCTTTTAATCTCTCAGAAAGTTTCAGGTATAGTGCTTATGAGTGCAGTTTTTATAAGTAGCTGAAGTGTGCAGGGCGCAAGACAGAAAGTAACACTACTCCTGGGCACCAGAAGCAGTCTATGAAAGCAGCATCTATCTTGATTTCCCACAACCACCAACAGGTAATTAATTTCAATGAGAGAGGCACAGTATGCAAATCATTACTAATGGCCAACCATTCCCAGCTATTAATGAACTGAAAGCTTCTTGCACTGAAGTGATTCAGTGGACTCACCTTGGCATTCGGTGTAGCTTTAATTGTCCATATGCAATCCACCGCCTGCTCTGGCGTTGTTTTCTCTTCTTGTTCTACCTGACTGGAACGCACTATCCCATCAGCTCCGGAGAGCTCAAATTGGCAATCTAGAATAAGGCAGACACACTGTGCTGTCAAACCAAAGGCAGGAGTGACTTAAAATCTAATGAACAAAAGAGATTTGTACTGCAATACTAGACCTGGGATGGGATTTAAAATACCTCCTAGGTATGTGAAGTCAGGATCTATAAGAGAGAAGAAAAATATGAATGGTTGGGAAAGGAAACTTTGAATTTTCTCAAGGTATAAACAGATAGGAAGATACTGAATACACCAGAAAAATACAGTATACTAGGAAACTGAACAGGGAATGTAAGTTTCCAGATCTCCTGCAAGAATCAACAGCAGAGGCGGCAATGCCTCGTTGCGTACAACTCCATGCTTGTGTGTCTGAGAATAGGGGGTTATGCCCATTTTCCTATTTAAAAATAAAATCACTCCTAGATGAACCTGGTTAAGTTCAAGTTCTGTCACTTAGAATCCTGGGTTGATTTCTGCTTATTATGCCATGTTTACTCTGCTGCAGTCAAGAGCATCATCCTGTGAAATGGTAAAATATGTCGCATGTTCTACTTGCAGCCCTCAACAAGGCACAGATGTGCACAGAATACATTGGAATGATTTTGATTTGGCACACTGATAGATGAATTCAGCATAATTTTGACACATTATTAGGCAAAGAAAGAAAAACTGGAAGGTCTTTTTTACCTGGTATAAATGAATACTTTGCTTTAAATCCCTGTCCTTCTAGTTCTTCATCTGAAGTGAACTTTATCCACATAAATCTCCCTGTTGATCTAATTAGGGTAGGACTTTTGAGACCACAGTAACGATCAATGAGCGGGGAGAAACCGAAAGGTCCATCTCGAACTTCCAGGTGATCAAACCGGCATTCAAAAGACGGCTCTATGTAGTATGGTTCATCAAAGGTCAATTCTATTCTTTGGCGAGGGGCAGCTATGGCAAAACCAAAAAGAATCCAACTCAATACAGCTTTCAGCAGCAAGGAAGGAAAGCAATTCTTAAAACAACATAGCAATTCATAAGACTAGATTTAGAGTTAATTACCACCAATTATTTGACTATAAATAGACTTCTTTGCGAACCGCATAATCTCATGTAGGTCTACTCAGAAGCATGTCCCATTGATGTCAGTGTGACTCACTTCCGGCCAAACAATTAAGTAAAGAATTACTACTGAAGTCCTCTTTTGAAGTGCACCAAAAAGATACATAAATTAGAGACACGAGCGCCATATGGATTTGATTCAAAAGTTATAAAATTTGTCCCAATATGCTATGATCATGTTTAAAAGCTAATTAAAATCAATGAATGTTTTTAATCAGTACTTGTTCTTGCATTTATAGCCTTCCTTATTAAAATAAAATCTTCACAAGCAGCTCAAGTAAAAGCAACATAAGCAATATTTCTCCATTCATAAAACAAGATTAGACAGATAACAAAAGCAGAAATAAACATGGGACTTGTAGCATTGCTTTGACTAGAGCACAGTTTATATTATGAATTCAAGCCATTCTGGCTGGAATTGAAATCCACGATTGCTTCCAAATACTCATCTTGCACTTGACCAGTGGAAGCCTCCCTTCAAACGGAAATGCCTCTTCCAGAGTGGTGTTTGCTGCCAGTGCTCCGGCAGGGAGTGAAAGAGGGAAACTTTCCCATTTTCATCCCCGTCAGAGTTCTGAGGTTGCTCAGGCTTCCTTCCAATGCTATTTCTGCAAACAATAACATGCATGCTATTGGCATTCATGTATCTAACATCACATCTGGTTTGGCCCAAAGCACAAAGTCAGGAATTCATTGCCATATAAATCCACATATAGAGCTCTTTGACTTGTCTGTGGATATATAGCCTGCAATTTATACCCAGTCCCTTCTTCTACTAGTTGCCCCATCTCCTAGCCATCCATGGGAGGTAACACAAAAGGTAACTGCTTAAGCATGTGTCACAAATATAAAACTAACCTTAGGAAAATGGTAAGATGAAAGGCGAGCACTCTGTGGTGAATGGAGATTCTTTGACTTTAAGAGGCTTCGGAGTGCTCACAGAAGGGAACACAAATTTAGTGTGGCTCCAGCGGATCCTAAGATTCCAGAGCCCTTTTGAACTACTGGAGACTGAAAGCGACCAGTGTATTCAGTGCTGATAACACGAAAATGCACACACATTACACACTTGCTGAGTTCTGGGCTGGTGAATTTCAGAATGTCTAGCTACTGCATCGGCATTAAAATCTGCGTTCCTGGACACACCGCCTGAAACCAGTCTTAAGTGTATTTTATTTAGGTATCACAGAGCTGAGTTTAAATGTCTCAACAGTCATACTTTCAGCAGTGGAGCGCTCCCCCCATAAAAGGTAAAGAAGATGGCAATACCTTCCAAAATGTAGACACACTCCTGGTTGGGAGGGTAGAGATTGGGGAAGTTTGGTGAAGCGAAGTGGCCTCCGTTGCTTGTTCGTACCCAGTCACTACACTGGGGAGATGCCATACGGTTACCTCCAATACCCTGCCCAACTTTTGAAACAAACAAACAAACACACACACAAGAACACAATTATTGTCATTCCAGGAAATCTGCACAAAGAACAATCAACACAGAAAAGAAAGCTTTGGGGAGTGTCACCGTTTGACAAGCAAGAGGTAGAGCATTGATATGGATTCTCTTGCCCTTAAATCATTTTTGTGTTGTGAAAAATAGTACCTGCAACAGCAAAAACCTGCACTAAAAACCTGCATTCCATTGAAAGGAGTGTAAAATCTGGTACTAGCTAAGTTCACTCCACACGTTATTCTGAGAGCTGCTGGTCAAGTCATTTTGCATCTGGATTGGCTGAGCGTGGCCTTCAAGCATCCAAACGCTACATTAGATAAAGCAAACTTTTAAAGGAAAAGCAGTCAAGTTACTTAATTTGCTGCTCCTACAAGGATGTAAGAATGATGCCATGAAAAGGACTCCAAAATTTCATGCCGGGCAAATTCCTGGAGGAAGCACTGTGGTTCAGACAAGACAAGCCAGCAGACTGAGAATATGGGCATTGCAGGTAGCTTCTATACGGAAGCTTCAGCTCAAAGATTTTCGCAAAGATTTCTAGGAACTCTAGAAGAGGCTGTGTTTTGTGCTGTGGCATCTGTACTACTTTGTGGGGGGGGGGTAACCCCTTCCTCAACCTCTTCCTAATTCAAGCACTTTCTTCTTTTCTTTGCAGAAAGTGAGAGTAAGAAGTAGACAGCGATTTGATCTTCCTTCTAAAAGAGAGAGACTTGAAATGCAAGGGTAAACACAGAGCATATAAGCATCATGCGAAATACTTAATGCCAAATGTATTTCCACATAAGCTTGCCAAGTGTTAATTAGTCAACGGTGACTTTTTTTCCATGAGTGCTTCTTACTCAGGGAGCAATTAACACATACTATTGCCTTGTGAAAAAGTTAATCAGCCTAGGCTTTTAATGTCAACTTCTCAATGTGTTAGGTTAAGGAATCTGATTCTTTATCTGTATGGATCCATCTTGGAATGCTGTGTGTGTTCCATCAATGGATGCTGTGACCTTCTGTTCTTTCCCTCGACCCTTCTCTTTCCCTCATGAAAGCAGGAAAAGCTAGTTTCCGTTAAGCTAGAGTTCCCCTTTATATCTGAACCAGGGAACTCCAAGTTAATTTTGGTTAACACAGTTAATTGGGGAAGTCTGTCTTGATGGAAACCAGGTTCTTTGCTAGTCCCAGAAGAGGAAAAGGAGTGACACGGAGGAAAGGTACAGGGTCGGCATTCTTCCATACACGAACATCTCTGCATCCAATTTGAAAATAAAAAGTTTTAGATACTTCATTCTTCTTTATCTTTCCAAATGAACAAATAAATAAAACTTGTTTGAACAAATAAGCCAACTGAATTCCATACTGTAAATGTACAATTATAACACACTTCTCAGAACATCCTTTACAGTACCTTGGGTTTTTTGAGCCACAGCAATTCCTTCCACTACCAGTATAGTAATCAAGAACACTGGTGAGACAAAAGCGAAACAAAAAAATGTAAATGTATAAATAAAGCAGGAATCACTGTGTTTTAGCTTAAAGCACATGCTGTTTGTCACTCTCAGTCTTACTTGATCAAGTTCACTTATTTAGAAAGATGGCACTTCATAAAATCCCACAACTAATTCATATCCAGTTGTTTAAGAATGCTTGTCATCACAACTTGGATCTGTTGTTGCAAACTTAAATTTCATTCACGTGCTAGATTTTTACTATCTCATAATGGACCAGTGCTGTAAAACTCTCGCTACCTTGCCAATATTTCCCCCTTCTATCGTGGATAATTCAGGATTTTTAAAAAACTAGCACATCAAAGCATTTCAGTATAGAAATAACACTTCATAATCAGTGTCAATGAAAAAAGAAGTATTAAAGAAATATGGCAGAGCAGAGAAAACAATGGGAATCTTTCTGACCCCTATAATTGGTTTCAAAAATGAACAAGTAATTCCCACTTTTATTCAGATTATTCTGTCTCCTGATAGTTTTCATCCAAACCAAATCGCCTTGGTTACTTACATTTGACACTATGCAAGATTTCTATTTTTATCAGAACATGCCATTTCCCACCTCCTTGCAATCTATTTAGTCATTCTATTTAAAATTAATTCTATGTCATCATCTTTCTTTTCTTCTAGCCAAAAAACAAAAAAAACCCAGCCCCAAACCAAACCAAACCAAACCAAACCAAACCCAAAGATCCTAACCAGCCATGAATGCCAGCTGTAGCCAAACAGAGGCCCAGGAGCCGCATGTGGCTCTTTGAGATTATTTTGTGGCTGGCTGCTCGCTGCTCACTGCCCTTCACCACCACCCACAGGTGCCTGACATTTATCACATGTGGTAACATCTGACATTTACTGCATGTGGCTCTTCCGCTGAGCAAGTTTGGCCACCTCTGCTATATGCTGTTATTTTCTCTATTAATTTTCTGTTCTTTAGGAAGAACAGAAGACTTTAGGAAATGTCCACCAGCAATATAGAAAACCCACATTTAAAGGAGTACATATACAGAAGTCCAAGTTAGAATAAAAGATTTTATTCTGGCTTAAAAATGTCAAATACCAAATGCATTGTTCTTCTTTCATATCCAGTGCCATGCAGTTGTGTGTTCCATGGCTTATAATGTAATACAACGTATTTTCTTCTATTAGTGCAAGATTTAATTCTCATTTCCTTTTCTGGATCAGAAACGAACACCCTAAAGAATGGTTTGCTAAGTATATTCACTTTTTTCTTTGATTACTTCTAAAATAAACATATTAATTCATACTGTGTATTGATCTTAACCAATCTTTAGAATTCAATTCAGAAATGTTTGAGATTGCAGTCCTATGTACATTTACTTGGGTGTGTGCTCCATTGAACACAACAAGACTTATTTTCACAGGATGGTGCAGCAAGCTTTTGACACCAATAAAACACTGGAAGATGGTTCATTCCATTACAGGGTTCTTTATATGACTATATAGTTCCATTAATACCTCCACCTCCTCCACCACCACACACCATAGTTATGTTCAAATCTTTCCCAACATTAACTGTTAAAGTTAGCATTTTGGTTAATTATCAATAATTGGGGAATGGTTTTTCCTTTGTAAGAACTACAGAGGGCTAAATTTATCAGGGTGCAATCTTGCCAGGTACCTGTCTTTCAATCCTTAAAATAATCAGAGGACCCCCCCCCCTCAATTGACTAGGTTCTTTTATTTGAAATTAGAATGATAAACGCACCACTTCTTGGAGCTGTCACCTAATTCACATTTCTAATCAGTTCTGTAAAGAAGCTTCCACTCTAGGCTGTCAAAATGCTTTCTCGGAGTGTAGAAATAAAACTCCATTGGTGTTTTTCACTATTATACTTCCTTCATGTCTTGTGTTATCCAAAACAATACCACTCAGGTCTAGAAAGATATATTAAGTTTTAACTGATTTGAAAGAATACTGCAAACATATTTAAGAGCCAACTATACAAGTCTGCAGTCATCACATTTCTTCTGTCTTTATTAACTCACCTCTTTTTCAAGTCTCTGGATTGTTGATTTGTATGGCCCTTTACAAAGGTCTAAAAGCACAGATGAAATAACTGAAGGGTTATAAAGCTTTGCCAGAAAAACACTTAGGGCCATTAATTTAATATTTTTCAGACTTTGTGTAGCCTCTTAAGCTTTTCATGGTTGAAGATTTACATTTACTAAGTAATTACAAGCAGAATATGTTTTGGAAGAGTTTATGCAACTGTCACATTCCAGTTGAGTTGAGCAACTGGAATGTGACAAAATTTCAGAAAATGTCCAGTAAGATCTCTTCAGTTATATGTTGTACACTGTTACAGTGCAATCTTATATTATTCAGAAATAACTTCCACTGAGTTCTAAGTGTGTATAATATCACTACTTCAGTCTTTTCACTGTTTTTGCTAATTGTTACAGCAATAGCTTTACTACTCTGTTTATCAGCACAAAATGGCTTATACTGTTTCTTAATTTCCTTGCTATATTTTTATTATTATTTATTTTATTTATTATTTCTGTTATTACCCTTCCTTTATGCAGACAGAAGATATTTCTTCATAAAGGTTTTATATAGATCCCAATTTATGGACAGTAATATTGTCCTGGGGAAAAGTTCTTTTCCCACCTTTATTAAAACTTCAAAAGGAAACTCTTGAAAGTGATAAGTGTTTCTCTTTCTGTACCCAGACCTAAAAATTGCCCTTTAGCCATTTCAGGGAGATGATCAGAAACAGACACTTTTCTCACTCTTATTTGATCTGATACTTTTTTTTTTTTTTGAGGTCAGGATATAAGCATGTGAATAGCATGGCACAGAACAAAATGTGTTAATTTCAACCTGCTTAATTTTTCCGTCTCTACAAACATTAATATTGTTCCTTGGCTATTTTGTTACTAAGTTAGGAAGAACTTTGAAAATCGGTTTATTACATGGACTGATCGAATATACTTATTGTCCTTTTGTTAACTAAGATCCCCAATCAAATCAAAAGACATCTTCTATCAACAGTGAACCACCATGTTCACTCATACTAACTGATGAGCGATTACTGAGATTTCCATCAAAAAATAATTATGCACTACTTAATCCCACATATACCTAATTAGAATTTTACATTCCACTGCAGGATTAATCCCAAACAATTAGAACCTGCACTAGAGTTCTGGTTCAACAGATATCAGGAATTCTATCAACGTCATCTGTTTGTCACTAATCAATGTTCCATTCACTCTGTGGTCAAGGACAGCCTTGCTCAAGTTTTGCTTGGTCAGAAATACATTTCTCAGCAGTGACTTCAGTCAGGTTAAAAGTACTTTGCTAATGGGGCAGAAGTAGTGGGAGAGCCATACAGAGCCTGGTGGCAGAGCATAGGTTGTGCATATCAAAGGACCCAGTTCAAACCCCAACATCTCCTCTTAGGCCTGGAAAAGATCCCTGCATAAAACTTTGGAGAGCACCTGTTGGATGGGTCAGCAGTCTGATCTCAGTAGGAGCA